GTTTAGTAATCGGACAGTCAATTGTATCAATACGGTTGTTACACGCAGTTTACCTGTACGATATGTCCGACGGGAACGGAAATCGTAGGTAAACTTCTAGTCTCGTGTGATTCTATATTGGCTCTTATTCAGATTGTATTAATGAAATCTAAAATCGTGTCTGAAAGCAGCCTCCGACCAGCGGAATTTGATTACAGAGTTGACTCGTTAAAATACAAGCGTCGTGCTGTTGAGCAGTTTTCCACTAGGGAACTCCTGATCACAGGTAGACGTGGTCCTATCTAAAAACAACGTTGCTATCTTGGCTAGGTGAGAAGTCTCATTCGCAAAGTAGCTAGTTGTGCAAGTCTTTGAACAAAGTTATGATGGCATGTATAGCGGGAACGGCACAATGATCAAATGTGTCAAAGTGACGGCCCGACTGAAATGCAGAGATTGATTCTATCTGGTAGAAGAGACGGTTTGCTCGATTACAAGAGTAGAAGTACCTCTAGAAATGATGCCCGACTGAAATGCAGAGATTGATTCTATCTGGCAGAAGGGACGGTTTGCTCGATTACAAGAGTAGAAGTACCTCTAGAAATGATAGTCAAGTAGGACGGTTTGCCCGCTTGCCCGAGACGGTTTGCTCGTTTACCTTATTAAAGGTAACCTAGCTAGCTCAGGTGATAGAATGCTCGAGTCGCGTAACGTCGCCGTTTGTATACCCGTCAACGATAGGCCAGGGGGCCTGAGAGGTGCCGAAGAATTGAGCGTCGCGATACCTACGAATTGTTATTACTTGATATTTAAGGTTATTCGGGTTAGCGGGATCTTATTATTAGCACGATACGAATATCCTCGGATGTATAGGTTACATTATATATATATGTATATATTGTGACGTGATTTTTCGAATCACGGCCCCAAGGCGGCTCCGGTTACCGATACATATAACGTTCCAGATTTCTGGTTCTTTTCGGGTCGCCACCCTGCTCAGAAGCTATGCTCTCGGGTTAATTCGGACAGTTATGTCAAGGCTCTCGTAAGATTTCATTATTGTTTAGTTGAGGTCGAGGTGCTCGAATCTGCCGTGGGGAGATAGTCTCGACGTACCGAGTTGCCCGGCAGAGGAGACGACCCGACGGAGACGTCTCCTCGGACCGGCAGAAGCCCGGATGAAACACCGGCGCCACGCTGGAGATGGGCAAAGGGCTGTAGAGCGGGCGGAGATAAGATTTTGCTAAGATTAAGGGCAAGGGAGGAACCTCCTGCCCGAGTTAAGGATGTGGTGCCCAGCTGTCGCCCGATGCCCTGGGGAAGCGGCCGTGGAGGATCTCCAGATGATACGTACCGATTCGTTAAGAAACGCTCTCGATTTGGTTTAAAGGGACGACTCGAAGGAGATAGAAGAGTTATCGGTTATAAGGCTCTCGACCAATCAGAATGATTAGTTCTCGGATTTGGTTATTGTCAATCGACTGCTTTAAAGCAGTCTGTCTCGGGGCACCGACCGAGGTGTCACGAGGGACATCGCGCTCCCGTGCTATCTGTTGATAGTTTTTCTAGCCGTGTTTCGCTACGGTATAGCAAGTTCTCGACTCGTACAGTTCTCGCGCTGTTCTCGCGATATCCAGGCAATTCTATGAATTCCT